GGGGGGGGGGGGGGGGGGGGATGAACAGCCACTTCAGACAAAACTCCGAGGAAATCAACAAGGAAAGACAGTCGAAGGTTCGTAAGAAAAACCGAGCAACGCAGTAGGAGGTATCATATGGTAAATCCCGGAAACACGCCCAATCTCAGTATCCAAGCAGTAGGTCCACCTACTGGCGGACTATTTGCACAACTCGCTAACCTTTAAAAACGATATATCGCTCCATGAATAAATGTGCAGTGGTTAGAAATGTGGAAAAGAAAAAAGTCCCCCGATTTGCAGGTTTGCTGTTATTTTTTGTCTTCCTCTTTTTTTGGTCGTTTTATTGTGTTTGGTTCATAACGTGGGGCTAAAGTCGCTCAGTCAATCATCATGCGATTCGGCACCTGGCCCGAGATGTTGGAAGACAACTCAGTTGTCTTCTCATCCTTGTCGCGGGACTTCTTCTTATGCACGTGCTGCTTCAGACCCTTGTGGAAGTTGTGCATGCAAATGCAGGCATTGATGATTGTCAAAACGATCAAAAGGAGTGTGATCACAGCGAAGAATGTCAGTGACCGCCGGGCGGGCAGGTACTCTTGATATGTTTGAGGCTGGTACATGCGGACCAGCTTGAACAGGAAGTAGGCCATAGCCGCGAAGTATAGAAGCTGCGATACCAGTTAGAAGATATTCAGACCCAGTGAGGGATACTATAACGTACAATGACGATAATCATTCCGATCGAGCTCTCTCGCTTGACGAAGATCGCAGCGCAAACAAGAATGAGAATCGTAACGGGAATGGCAGCCGTTGTGAGACCGAATTCAACATCCGTCTTGTTCGTAACAATGACAAGGAACTGGACCGTGAAACCAAGGAAGAAGAAGAAATCGAACTTCAGCAGAGCGATATAGATCTAGAAAGCTTGTTAGTTGGGTTCGGGTCCCCACTTCGGCGGGCATGCAAAAGTACCTGATATGTAAGATACCGGCGCTTCATTCGCAGATCGGCGCTGATATGCTTGTAGATCGACCATGCAAATTCATCGTAGAGCTTCCAAGCGATGATCATCATCAGGACAGAGCCCATGGCAACGACGCACGGAATGATAATCAGAAAAGGCTCCGTTTCCCCCCACACGTCTAGCGTGATGGCGCTTTCGGCCACAAGCATTTCGATGGAGTCCTTGATCTGCTGGACTTGCACCGCTCCGTAAATCAGAAGACCGAGGTTGCACACGCACAGACCGATGACTTGAATGGTATTCTTGAGGCGTAGAGCATCGTAAACGAGGATCAACTCATATATAAAACCGAAACAGTAGAGTGCCAAGAAGGTTGTTACAGTCTTTGATGCAGTCGAGACTTCACCCTTGGGAAACAGTTGGATCTGGAAGTTTGCGAAGACATAACTATTCGTGCGGTAGTCAGCATAAGCACTCGGAAATATTCAGATCAACGGTTATGAAGGCCACACTTACGACTCGAGGGCAAGGGTAATGATGGTTTGGACGAGGGTAACAATGCAAAAGGACCAAGTCCAGAGCGAGTTTGGCCGATACATCCTGTGTCGCTTTGGAGGATTCGGAGGAACATTCGTATACCCTTCTCGGGCACGGAAACCGCGTCTAAAAGATGGATCGAAAGTGCCCCCGAGCAGGGAGGCCCGCGAATTGTGGGAATAAATCTTGACGAAGTGCTCCGTTACGGAGCTAGTGTCCGTCGGAGGCTCAGGATCGGGATACAATATGACGGTTCGACCACCCGACGGCCGCGACAATATGGCAGAGGTAGAGGATCAAGGATACAGGTTCGCGAAGCGGGGAGGTGACAACCCCAAACTGTGCGGGTTGCGGCCGAGGCCTTGTTTTTGAGGTTGTCAGGAGGGGGTTCTCAGGAGGTCGGGGTTCTCGAAGATGACGAGTTCTGGGAGGACGACGACGACCACTTGACAACAAGCGTATAAGCCACACCAAGCCACACTCAAGACAGGCTAACGGGGCGAGCGGAGGGTATCTTCGCCCGGCGACTGGCTCGCTGCAGGGTGAAGGAGGAGGATGAGAAAGTCTCGGGGGGGGGGAAGCCGTAGGATTTGTTAAGCCGTGGTGCGAATTGTCGTGTGTTACCCTTGGGCGGGGAGGCTCAGTCCGATGATCGATGGTTCGGGATTGGAGGGAGGTCTGTTGGCGTAAGGCTGAGCACCTGCGGACTCCAAACCAAGGCCCAGTGTCAGTCGGAGAGGGTGTTAGGGAGGGGAGAGAGAGAGACTGAGGGAAGGAGAAAAAGAAAGAAAAGGCAATAAGGAGAAAAATGCTGTAAGAGATGAAAGGGGAGGAAAAACGAGTGTCGGGGGGGGGGAAGGAGGAAGTATGAATGTGAGAGGTGGAAAAGAAAGGCTGGGAGAAGAACGATGGAAGATGATGAGTGGAATGGGGGAGAGAGAGAGAGAGAGGGAAAAACGGAGGCTGCTGTCAAGCTAAGCCCGAGATGTGAATAGTAGTGAACCAACTGACAGAATAAGACAATACCAAACGGATTGATTACTCACGCACTTTTTGGAGGAGGAGAAGAGGAGGAGCAGGAGGAGGGGGCTGCTTTCCGGTCGGGGGAGGCGTATGTGGCATCCAGGGTTCAGCTGGAAAGTCCAGACGCAGCAATGGAAGGGAAAAAAGCGAGAAAAGGCAAGTGATGATCACAAAAATCAGAGGAGGGTTGGACGATGCTCAAGACTAGACTAAACCCACACCTTACATGACAACCCAGGTTTAGTCGCAGTCAAGCATATAAGCGACGGTCTAACGGCAGAGCAAGTTGCGTTGGGGTTCACCCAAATGTGCCAGACTCCGTCCGTCCTGGGCCCCAATTTTCTTCTTCTAATTTTATGATGGGTTTTATCATGGCGTTCGGCTTATACGCGGGATTAGTCTATCCTCCCCAATGAGCCAAGAAGCTTTTAATCTACCCACGGTAATTACGGGAGCACCTGGAACCATTCATGGGAAAATACTCTTCTTCCTCAGTCCTGAAGATCAAAAGAATAACTTCTTCGGCTTGCTTTTGCTGTGGCTGATTATCTTCTCTGTTCCTTTTTCCTCTCCTGGGCACTGACTGCTTCTGCTTACGGAGGAGCGATGAGTGTTTGTTGTGGTGATAAATTAAATCCTTCAATTCGGTGTTGTTGTTGATTTGTTGTTATTCGTTATTCCGGGTCTCAGAACTGGATCCCGTGCCTGGCCTAAACTCGACAGAGAAAGGAACTAGACTCGATTGTCTCCTGAATTCGTCGCGTCGCAGTGGGTCGGACCCATGGACCGGCTGCCTTTTGAAACTGGGTTCCCGATTACGATATTATTAACCCTCTAGTAAAATGCCGCGCGTTACCTCTAATTCTCAAGCCCTATTATTACTTGACTATCGTAGCTCCAGAATTCTGTGTGCACTTACTCGCATCTTGCCCCAAACGGGCGGCGCATCCGAGCTATACACAGTCCATCGTAGTTAACTATCACGCTGCTTGCCGAGATACCGATCAAAAAGTTATTTCCAATTTGTTGGGGCATTCAAAGATCGCATTGATTCGGGGAGAATTTCCTACCCAATCATTGAATTATCTTGATGCTTCAAGGTATCAGATCTGTCCAAAGATTAAATGTACTATTAGCAGAGTGCAGCAGTTCTATACCGTACACACACCATGGCAATGGATGTGGGGGATTGTCAAAGTTCACAAGTGGCGGAAGAGCTGCAAACCAACGGCTCGCAAGAAAGTATATAATAGGCAAGCATTGGGAATCGGGGACGGCAGGAGATCCATATCTATAAGAAGGAAGGCACGTAGAATGCGATCTACATGAGAATAATCCACGATCATTTCATGGAGGTACACATGCCCACTGTACGATTTCTTTGACCAAAATTCATTGAAAAAAATTTATTCACCATATCTGAATTGTTGTACACCATACAAGCCAGAAAGATCCCGCTTCCAAAAGATCCAGGACTAGGATGTCTTAGGCAACCATTCCACTGTCTACCAATTAGGTGTCTACCACAGTCAACAGTGTGCAGACTAGATAAACACTGCACTGAACTACCTCCCCATCGAGACTAGCGCGCGTCAGACGGGCTTCCCTTTGCCCCGGAGATGGAACGGGGCCAGAATTGGGGCCAAAAATTGTGGTGGCCGGCTCAGATCAGACCAGATCCGTGGCTCAGCTTCCTGAAACCTAGTACAATGTGCGGTGTCACTCGTGTGTGCATGGCAGCCTCTGCAGGGTCAGCAATGCATGGTTCAGCCAGGTAATCAAGAGAAAGAGGGATGCATCTCTGCCTTGCTTCTGCATGAACTATGAACCATGAACCATGTGGAAGAGATCCAGGTCGACAGAATTTTGCCTTAGGCAGACGCATAACGACATTTAAGCCTCTTCTCACGCCGGGTTACGTACCCATCTAACCTTATTGTCGGGGTGGACGCCAAACCGACGAATTAGCTAGACTTGATAACGTGTATCTTCAAAGAGCAGAGACGGAGCACAAATACTCCATCTACCTGGGAACCTCATTGAATTATTCCGGAGACTCCGGTCTCACCATAATGCAAGCACAAGCACCAATGCAGTTCTCAAACCAAGGTGCTGAAAGCCACAGGTCTGTGAGCCCATCAAATCTTCTAAGATAGTGGCGTGTGGCTATTTTAGTGCGCAATTCGCTTCCCCTTGCTGCTTGCTCCATGTGCCATTCGACGTGCTTAGTGCGCCTCGGTGAAACAACGGCATTGTGGGAAGTACCCAAGATCTTCCGCCGTCACAGATTTGCAGTATTGCTATGGCGACACAGGTCAATGAAGGTCCGAGTCTTCTCTACGCTTTACAACTTATACACTCTAGCCGGGCGAGCGAAGAATCCGTTCTAATTGGTTGTTGTCATGTCAGGAGAGCTCTTCCAACGGCTGTCGCGTCTATGTGGCTGCCTGCCAGCGGTCCTGGAATGGCATCCATGGGCCGGATCTCTGCCGGTTCAACTTAAAGAGTGAACCTTCCACGTGAGTGGCGGGTAGACAAACGAGTCTGCTCCGCAAGAATGGATAATTCAACCGCGCGAGACTGAACTGCTCCACAGTGTTTTCAGGGACACGCATAGGGCTCGTGGTTTTGCCCCTTTTAGCCGTAGACTAGACTATCCGTCCCTAAAGCATCAGTTTGTCGGAGCTGACCTGCCTGATTGTGGAGTGGAGTCAAGATCGGATCCAAGGTTCTGGATGGCGCACAATATATCTAGCAGTCTACAAACTTCGGACCTTGGATCGTCACAACCTAGCAGCTTCAAGGTCTAGAACTTGCAGTGGAGAGCGATGGAATGGAGGGAACCCGTAGGCCAGTGGCTCAGAGCCTTATTCCGTAATCGATCAAGCTACATAGTAGTTTGGAAGTCGAAGAAAATACTGATGCCAGAGACTAGCTTAGCTATCAGTAAAAATAATGTTATGTGGCAGAGAGTCAGATAGACAGACATCCAGCACACATGAGATGTTAAAAAAGAAGGAAGGAAAGAAGACAAAAAAAGAAGTTGAAAAAGAGAACTCCGATGCGGGGAATCGAACCCCGAGCTGCCGTGTGAAAGACGGCGATGTTAGCCGTTACACCACATCGGACTTGTTGTGAAAGAAGCACCAAACTTATGTTATATAAGCTACTTACTCTGAGTATAGCTCTTGGCATTACCGTAAATGACGGTACCTTCCGCCAGCTGGAAATCGTGAGCGTGGCCTCTTTCTGGCATCTCGCGACCTCACCTCCCGGACCTCCTACCAGTATCTCCTCCTCTTCTACTTCTCAGCCGATTCCTTCCCTCTTCATCGGCCAATTGCTTCCGTGCTTCTTGTTGTCATTATTGTTTAATTCAGCTTCACTTTCTTTGATTCTTATCTTCTTGAATCTCCATATTCTTTAAAATGGTGAGCACCCTTGTCCTGCCGATCCTCTTGGTGGCTATCGTTGTCTCCCAAGCGAATTGGACCAAACCATCGACGAGATATGACAACTTCAGTCAATTAAACTAAGAGCAACCTCATCTAACGTCTCTATTCTCTTCAGGCCTCTCCCCGTGCTGCTTCCCCCATGACCTCCGGTGCTGAGTCCGGTCCCGACTCCAAGTCTGCTGGCGCTGGCACCGGCGCCTCTGCTGTCTCCTCCGTCAACCGCCCTTCCTCTCCCACTCCTCCTGGTGGTCCCCGGGCTGCTCTGCGTCGTCGCGCGGCCGCTGACCACAAGGAGTCCCTCCGCAATGCCAGACCCAGCTCGACTCGCGCCGCCGGTGCTGGTGGCTCCTCCGGCACCATGCTCAAGCTCTACACTGACGAGAGCCCCGGTCTGAGGGTCGACCCCGTCGTTGTCCTGGTTCTCAGTCTGGGCTTCATCTTCTCCGTCGTTGGTCTCCACGGTAAGTGATCTTTCCTGGGCAGTCTTCGGATCGTTCAACGATCTCTAACGCGCATATCCAGTCATTGCCAAGATCACCCGCAAGTTCTCCGCATAAGCCGCTGAAATGCGACTTGTACTCTCGTCTTGTTGCTGTCTCCTGATTCTATAATACGTGATATGTCTGGCTCGTGTCGAATGATTCGGGGTCGCGCGCGAGATCAGCAGCGCGAGGATCAAGCGAGGCCAGCGAATCCACCATCCAACCTTTTGCCCTTCGATACATATACCCCTGGTGTCCCTTGCCTCTTTCTTGTGTGTGCTGGTAGTGGGGAAGGCACATGCCGATCTTGTGCTTCTACAATTGGTCCAAATCTATCTGCAGTATAGGATGGAACAATCATCGCTATAAAAACATGCCGTGCACTTGTGCCCATCAACAATTAATGGAGAGCCTAATTCCGTGAAGAAATGCGTTTTTGTGTAATATAGTGCTTGTCAATGAAAACGAGACTCGTCGAAGCGAACCCTGTCCCAATCCTTATTTTATAACCCCTACAACCACTCTCCATATCCCTCATACTCCCCGCGCAGCAATCACCCCCCGAATCTCCTCAGCCCTCCTCACCAACTCCTCCACATCCTCCACCCCTACCTCCGGCCCAGGCAAAGAACTCACATACCCAGAATACACCTCCCGAAACACCTCCCTCTCCCCAGCCCCATCCTCCTCCCCCTCCCCATAAACAGGAACCAACTTAACATGCGCATAATCCACCTCCAGCCCCTCAAACACCATCCCACATCTCCCCACCCCCAACGCCTCCATCAACACCCGTCCAACCGTCCACGCCGCCCCCACCAAACCCTTATATTCCTCCTCCCCGAGCGCAAATATATCACTCCCCAAATGCCTCCGCGGCACTAGCACCGCGAACCCGGGGGTGTTTGGATATGGCGTGAGGAACGCCACGTGGGTCTCATCCTCCCAGATGCGCCATTGGGGGTGCTCCGTGCCGCGGATTATGTTCGCGAAGAGGTTGGTGTCTGTGGAGGGGCCGTGGAAGGTGTAGTTGGGTGTGGAGAGGGAGTGGGTTGTGATGGTGTTGGCTAGTTGGGTTAGTTGGGCCGAGGGCATGCGGGGGCCGGATTTGGATGTTATGTAGTTGGGGTTGTTGGGGTGGAAGGACGTTTCGGGACTGAGGATGGGCGTCCAGGTGTTTGGTGAGGGGAGGCCGTGGAGAGGGAGGAGGGAGATGGTCCTGTTGCCGGAGGTTATTAGGGCGATGCGGGAGGTGTGGTATGTTTGTTTTAGGGCGGGGGTTATGGTGCGGAGGGTGAGGAGGGTGGTGGTGAAGGTGGGTTTTGGGAGGAGGAAGAGGGTGCTGGTGGTGCTGGTTAGGGTTGCGAGGGTGTGGCCTGGAGTTGTTGGTGTGGGAGAGAGGCTGATGGTTAGGTCGTTGGTGCGGTGGATTTCGGTGGTCATGGTGTTTTTGGTGTGGTGGTGATGATGTTGGTGGATGGTTTGGTTCTGGGTGTGGTGGGCTGTGGATGTTTATGGGATGGTCCCTTATTAGTGGTTATTACTAGTAACCACTTAGTGCTGATGATATAGTTGCTTGGTGAGTCATGCGAGGCTTACTAGCAGTGGCTAGACTCATTGTATACTATGGTGATGGGGTAATGGTACTAGTAGTATTCAGATCATGACGGTGGTGCTGTGTCAGTCTAAGAGGGTTAGTAGAAAACTCAGTACTAGATCGTGTATATATACTCGGTGCGGATCTAGATCACTGATCACGCTGGGGTAGGTTAATGGCATATTCATATCATGGGCACCCCAATCGTGAATTGTCATCACATTCAGGATTTCATCAGTACTCGGTAGTAGTATCGAAATGTACAAGCGATGTATATTATGTGCACACACCTACCAAATAGACTATGATCCATTGGCATGAACTGATATATATCATGCAAGTCAATCCACATACCAGGAACTTAACAGCCTAAGGTGAAGTACACGTGGGTGACATATCCACAAGCAAGGCCTGCCCTACGCAGTACGCACAGTACTGAGATCTGGCATACATCAGATAAAGGCAAGATCAGTTGCCCCTACTCAGACACCCACCAATTACAGGAATCGAAGAATGATGGAAATTCCCCGGCTTCCAAAACCACGAGCAGTGGGGAAGACCCCCAAAGCATTAGTGGCAGGATCGAGTAAGTAAACTAAGTGAACTGATAGAGCGCTATCATCAAGTCTGCTCCCTATAAAGCCATAAACTCTTGGCAAAGAGAAAGGCTGCACCAACACACCAATCCATGACTTCGCTGACATCCTTATCTGATAGTCTACGGTTTCTTATCATCGTCCGCTCCCAACTCGGACCAATGGGCGTCATTGCGCTGACCTCCGCTGATAAGAAGCATTTCCGCCTCGCCAATAAGCAGCCCGGACCCGATACGTTGATAACCCACTTGGGGTTCGGCTGTTGATTTTGTTGCAAAGAAAGTGGAGAAGGCATGGGATAATCCATGTGTATGCTTATGGAACTGTGGAACGATGGCACTTACTCGATGACTCGGTACTAAACTCACCTGCAGCTAGTCCACTGCCATTGATGTTACACCCCCATCTGATGAAAGCACATTACGAAACGGCCACCAGGAGCTGCTCTTATCAGCCACTCGCTTCCCCAGGCCTGACTCCTCGGATCCAATGATATTGGACTGGTAGTGATTCATTCAATATGAATTTACCGCCGATCACCAGCGTGTCTGCGAGGTCGGAGACTTCTCAAGGGCCCCGTGCCCTATATGTTCTTGCCTCTGCCACCATGCTCAAAGCCTTGTCTCCTTCAGTCATTGTCCAGCCATAGCAAGGCATCGTTTCGCGTGTTCAAACACTGCCAACATGTCTTCAGACACAGTCACATTCACAGCGCCCCTCTCGCAAGGGTTTGGCTATGGCATCATCATTGGTCTGGGCTTTGCCTTTGCCCTGCTCATGATCTTCATCACCTGGGCTTTGAAGCGGTATGTAGTCTAGTCCCTTTCCAAACATGGATTTTCTTCAAGTATGGGATTGCAAGACTAACGGGTCTCACATAGATACCAGAACGAAGTGCAGACATCAGAAATGTTCTCCACGGCTGGAAGATCAGTCAAGTCGGGTTTGGTTGCCGCGGCAGTCGTCAGTAGTTGGACATGGGCCGCAACTCTTCTTCAGTCGACCACTGTGGCCTACGAATACGGCATCTCGGGTCCTTTCTTCTACGCATCAGGTATGTACAGCCAACAGCAACACGCCGAAGACATTCTGACTCGGTGATACAGGTGCTACGGTCCAAATCATCCTGTTCGCTACCCTAGCCATTGAGCTTAAGCGGAGAGCTCCAAATGCGCATACCTTCCTCGAAGCTCTGCGCGCTCGATATGGAACCGTCGTGCATGTTGTTTTTATCGTCTTCTGCCTGATGACCAACATTCTCGTTACCGCCATGCTGCTGACTGGTGGTTCTGCCGTCTTGACATCTCTCACGGGGGTTAATACAGTTGCTGCCTGTTTCCTCCTGCCTATTGGTGTCGTGCTCTATACCCTATTCGGTGGTATTAAGGCGACGTTCATCACGGACTACATGCATACCGTCGTGATCATTGTCGTCATCTTCATCTTCGCATTCTCTGCCTATGCGACTAGCGACAAGCTTGGATCTCCGGGGGCTGTCTATGATGCACTAGTAGCAGCATCGAAACTCCACCCAGTTGAAGGCAATGCTGAGGGAAGCTATCTGACCATGAGGTCAAAGGAGGGTGGCATCTTCTGGATTATCAACCTGGTCGGCAACTTTGGGTACGTTAGCCACCACACTTCCGCATCGATTGCTTGCTAATGAATGCAACAGTACCGTCTTCCTCGACAACGGCTACTACAACAAAGCCATTGCCGCGAGCCCCGTGCACGCTTTCCCCGGATATGTCATTGGTGGTCTTTGCTGGTTCGCGATCCCCTGGCTGTGCGCCAGCACTATGGGCATGACTGCTCTCTCCTTGGAGGGCACTCAACGCTTGAGCTCCGACGACGTCACCGCCGGTCTCGTGCTGCCCTTTGCTGCCGTCAAGCTTCTCGGCTACAGCGGCGCAGTTTGCACGACAATCATGATCTTCATGGCAGTCACCTCCGCTTTCTCCGCCCAGTTGATTGCCGTTTCATCCATCTTCACCTACGATATCTACCAGGCCTACATCGACCCATCCGCCAAGGGCAAGCGTCTCGTGTGGGTCTCGCACATGACCTGTGTGTTCTGGGCCATCGCCATGGCCGGCTTCTCCACCGGTCTTTACTACGCTGGTATTGGGATGGGTTATCTCTACCTGTTGATGGGCGTGATCATCTCCTCTGCAGTCTTCCCCGGCGCCATGACCCTCATCTGGAAGCACCAGAACTGGATTGCAGCAGCCGCCTCTCCACCTCTCGGCCTCGCCGTCTCCCTTATCGCGTGGCTCGTGACAACCAAGAAACAATACGGCATCCTGACCGTCACCACGACAGGCGCAAAGTGAGTCCACCCCCACATTTTCTCTCTCCAAACAACCAACTAACAAAACTCCCGCACCAGCTACCCAATGCTCGCCGGCAACGTCGCCGCCCTCCTCAGTCCCGTCGTCTTCTCTCCGATCCTCACCCTCATCTTCGGCTCTCAAAACTACGACTACGGCACCATGCGCGCCATCCGCCGCGTCGACGACGCCGACGTTGCCGCTGCCGCTCACATCGACATCGAGCTCATCCCCGGCGAAATCAATACCCAGTCCGCCGCCCAGGAAGAGGAAGAAACGCGCAAACTCAACCGCGCTGCTCTCTACTCCCGCACCTTGACCATCTTCATGGTCCTCTGCTTCCTCATCCTCTGGCCCATTCCTATGTACGGCAGCTCGTATGTCTTCAGCAAGAAGTTCTTTACGGGCTGGGTTGTTGTCGGTCTGATTTGGCTGTTCTGCACCACTTTCGGCGTGGTTATTTTCCCGCTGTATGAGGGTCGGGAGAGTATTGTGAGGACGGTGAGGATGATGGCGTTGGATATTACGGGGAAGAGGGGAAGAAGAAAGGGAATGATTGTGGGGGAAATGACGAGTGGGGATGTTTCTGGGGTGCAGACGCCTGTGATGGAGAAGAAGGAGGTTTTGGAGAAGTAGATTATTATGTTGCGAGGAATCGGTTATTCTGTTGATGAGATATGTGCTTGATGTCTGGATATGTTGGGTCTGGGATGGTTATGATTGGTTTTATTCATCGGTTTGGATATATACCCCATTCGTTACTGTATAATGTTGAGTTCAAATAGTATGATAATATGAGTTTATAAAATATACTGCGCACCCAAATAGAGTGAATAAATCGGATTTGATACAATACATGCGCGATAGCTAGTAAGCTAACCACTAGACACAATGGCAACAAGCAAGCAAGCAAGCAAAAGGTATTCGATAAATACAGACAACAGACCATCAACCGATCATAA